CATTCTCCTCTTGTGGCTCAGGACAAAATACTCTAAATTTATGGCACCTTAATATGCTGAGAACTTTGAACTGAAGGTGTTGGAAGGGCCCCAGATCAAGTTATTTCTGCTTTCCTGTCTCCTGTCCTATCTCTACCTTCAAATAAACCATAGAAACCAGACTCTGTTCTCATGGTGAGTCATAGAAACTAGACTCTCCCTTCCTCAAAGAAAGCCATAAAACATGAAAAGGTTACTTTCTTCCTTGTCCTTGATTCTGGGAAGACCCCCATTCCAGAGGGAAAAGTTGCAGAGGAATGCCACACAGAAAGACCTGAGAAGGGGAAAAAACCCAGACCTTTCTTCTGGCTTTCTCCAGGTCAGTCTGTTCCCCTTACAGTCCTTTTGGCCCAGTCACATTTCTGAATATACAATTCTGTCCACTCTTAATGGCACTGAAGCACAGACACAGTTTTTCTTTGGGTCTTTGAATCTCTATCTCTGAAGCTTCCCGTGCCACATAAAACCCTGATTAAGTAAATATGTTATGCTTATTGCTAATTGCCCTGATACTTTTTCAAAGGAGTGCCATCCAGGACCTTTATCTTTTTTAAAATTTATTTAACCTATTTATTTTATGTGAATTGGTGTGAAGGTGTGAGATCTCCTGAAGTTACAGACAGTTGTGAGCTGACATGTGAGTGCTGGGAATTGAACTTGGGTCCTCTGGAAGAACAGCCAGTACTCTTAACCACTGAGCCATCTCTCCAGCCCCAAGGACCTTCATCTTATGTGAAGGATATATATTATACCTTTTCACTCCTATTCTCTGATTTAGCCATGTCTTCTGCCTCTGATGTTCCTCTTAGTAATTTATGTGCACCGACCTCTCTGACTACAAATCCCACTGTCTCCTTGTGTTTGGAATGGAGCTCAGCTCTGTAATAAGATCTCTTTTCTTCCTTTGTAAGAGTTCCTGAATAAAATTTATTTTCTAATGACTTCATTGTGCAGCTCTGGTGTTCTTTAATACTGCAGTGGGTTTCCATTTTCTGACTGGCTCTATGTTTTTGCCATCTTTATAAAATGGATACTGAGGCTCAGAAATCAATATCCCAAAGTCTGACATTTTGGCATGGTCAGTGTTTCAAACTAAAGAAGTACCAAGGCTTCGGGCGGTGGTAGCGCACGCCTTTAATCCCAGCACTCGGGAGGCAGAGCCAGGCGGATCTCTGTGAGTTCAAGGCCAGCTTGGGCTACCAAGTGAGTTCCAGGAAAGGCGCAAAGCTACACAGGGAAACCCTGTCTCGAAAAACAAAACAAAACAAAACAAAACAAAAAAAAAAAAAAAAAAAGTACCTAGGCCTATCTGACCATATCCCTTCTATCTCTACCTACATCTTCTCTTTTCCTTTCTATAACACAGACATTTTACTGTACTTGAAGAAAATTGAGGATATTTTCACTCATGAAGCCATTAGGGTTCTTGTGGTATGTTCTACCAAGGTGTGCATGCTACCATTGCACCCCCAGGGCTACCTAGGCATGCTGATCATCGTTGTGGTTCACAGTCATCACAGATGTATAGTCCTTTGGAAGCTTCATGGTGCCTTCTGGTACCATGAAATGTAGTTCCCAGAGAGGAGGCTTTCAGGTAAGTTTCAGCTCAGGGTTCTCCAGGTCTTATGTCTAAAGCACATGGTGTCTTCATCAATAGGTACTTGCCTTCCACCTCTGGGAGCAACCAAGAGCAATATCAATAGTCTCTTGGACAACTCTGACCAACTACTCAAAAGAGGATTTCTTGTGTCTAGTGTTGAGTTTTTGTTAGATGGTCTTTGACTCTTACAGGAATCATTGTCATTTAAAGTCTATGTGTACATTTTTATAGCAACTTATGTGTATTATATGTATTTTTAGGTAGATTGTTAATAGTATAACTCCTTATGACTTTTTCAGATGTCTTACTATTATTTTACCATTCTCTCCTTCTTCTGTATTTATCTCCTTTTTACTTTCCTGGTTTCTGTAGTTATTCCATGTGAGTTATTCACTCCCATCTGAAGATTTGGAGCTAGGAGCCTCAGATGAGCCAGAACATTTAAGAGTTGCCTTTTTGGATATGGGTTATCTCACTCAATGTAGTGTAACATGAATCTTAAAAGGTCTTATTAATAAAAACAAACCAAAGCCAGTTATTGGGGTGAATGCTGGAAGATCAGAGAAGCAGAACAAGCCACAGCCACCTCACCTTGCCAATTCCTCAGCTGATCTTGTTTCCTCAAACTGGAAATCTCTGTGTCCTCATCTGAATGGATCTCAGCTGAACTGCTGCTCCAAAGCCTAAAAGCTTAACAGACTCTAGCTCCTGGTCCTCACACCTTATATACCTTTCTGCTTCCTGCCATCACTTCCTAGGATTAAAGGTGTGTGTCACCATGCCTGGTTGTTTCCAGTGTGGCTTTGAACTCACAGAGATCCGGATGGATCTGGATCTCTGTCTCCAGAATGCTAAGATTAAAGGTGTGTGTGTCATCATTTTCTGGCTTCTATGTCTGTCTAGTGGCTGTTCTGTTCTCTGACCCCAGATAAGTTTATTAGGGTGCACAATATATTGGGGAACACAATATCACTACAATGCAGTATTTTCTAGTTCCACCCAAATCTCATGATTTCAGTTTTCTTTACAGTTTAATAGTACTCCATGGTGTATAAATACCATATTTTCATTACTCATTCACCAGTTAAAGGACATTTAGGCTGTTTCCATTTCCTAGCGTATTAGTCAAGTTTCTTTAGAGCAGTGGTTTTCAACCCCCCTAATGTATTGACTCTTTAGTATAGTTTGTCATGTTATGGTAACCCCCAACCATAAAATTATTTTGTTGCTACTTCATAACTGTAATTTTGCTACTTTATGAATCATAATGTAAATATCTGATATGCAAGATATCTGATATGTGACCCCTGTGAAAGGGTCATTCGATGCCCAAGGGGTTGCAGCCCACAGGTAGAGAACTGCTGCTCTAGAGTAACAGAACTTATAGAATGAATCTATCCATTTATCTATCTATCTATCTATCTATCTATCTATCTATCTATCTATCTATCTAGGGGATTTTTTAGAGTAACTTACAGGCTGTGGTCCAGCTAATCCAACAATGGCTGGTTATGAATGGAAACTTCAAGAATCTAGAAGTTGCTCATTCCACAAGGCTGGATGCCTCAGCTTGTCTTCAGTAGACCCTGGGATCCTGAAGACGTAGGCTCTAATTCCAGTGAAGGAATAGACTTGCTAGCAAGGCAAGGGCAAGCAGGCAAAGCACAAAGGCCTCCTTCTTTCATGACCTTTTATAGGCTTTCTGCAGAAGGCATGACCCAGATTAAATGTATTTTCCCATCTCTAAGATTTGGATTAGAAGTAGATCTTCCCACTTCAAATTAAGTAGAAATCCCTTCCATGTGTGCCCTCTATTTGGAAGGTTTAGTTAATTTCAGATGTAGTCAAGTTTCCAACTGAGAATAGCCATCACACCTAGCTATTGTGAATAGAACAGTAATGAACATGGCTGAGCCAAGTATCTGTGGAGAAGGACATGGAGTTCTTTAGGCAAATGTCAAGGCCAAGCACTCCCACTTTTTGAAGGTAGAAACTGGTTAAAACTTAGCAACTAATCTATGTTTACATAGTTCTATGGACTGTCCAAACTGTAACATGGTCCAGGTCTGCCACATTCACAGTCCAGGGTCTTGGCCATGGATACTGCTGCTGATGGCCATTGGTGTCTACTGCTCAGTAATAGTTTCCTGTCCATAAAGCAGATGAGGAAACATCATTACCGGGGGCAAGAGACCGAAAAGCTTCCTTCTACTTAATCACTATTAATCTCTTTGGTAATTTGATTTCAGTCTATATTCTGTTACTCACTGAAAACAGATATCTGACTTCAAGTTAAGTGGGACTGGGCTTATTGGCTCAAGACTAAGGTGGCTATCTTGGGGGTGGCAAGAGAGAGATGGAAGAAAAGAAGGAGAATATGAGGTGAGTTACATTTCAACCAGGATACCAGTAGTGATAGTGTTAATCCATTAATCCATTCAAGTAATACTGAGAATGACAGTGGTCAGTCTCATAAATAACACACATTGCCAAATGGCACTGCTATACCATCCCATTATAAAACCGATTTAACCCACTTTCTATTATTTATCCAGATTTTGTGTTTAGATGAACACCTTCTACTACTGAACGTTTCTGGAAATTAATAGCAATTATTTGAACTTCACTATTATTTTCTTAAACTAACATATTCGATGAAAGATAGCAGGCCTGCAGTTTACACCTGAAGCTCTTCTAACTCTTCTATTCCCCAGCCTTGTTTCTTTGTATAGTTTCTTTTTAAAAGGCCCATACCTACCATTCAAGAAACACTTTCAAAGCTCACGCTAATTCTAAGCTAGATTTTAACAATATGTATTCACCCACTTTATTGAGATATTAATATTTTCTTTAATTGCTCACCATTATAGGAAAAATAAATTCCCATTGGCCTACTTATAAACAGTAATAAAATGGGTCTGCTATACATTAGAAGCATATTGTGTTAATTTGTAAAAAAAAAGTGAGTTAAGTTGCCAAAGCCTAAACACACACACACATACACCTATTAATTGCAGGAATTCCACTGAAAATAACTCCACAGAAGGGTAAATGAATTGAAAGAAGGGATAAGCGCTCAGTTTTCTTAAGCTGTCCTCAAGACCAAGCAGGAGTAGGTGCTGGAAGGCTTTCCCACTTGTGGCTGAGCGTGGACGGCCTGGCTCAAGGCGGCCTGGGAATCCCGGGAAGAATTGCAGAGCGTGCTCCCACCCTCTCTACCTGGAGCCCCTGAGGACTGAGACCCGCCCGGGCTGCTGGCTCTGAAAGGGGCGGAGCCGCTCGCACCCGCGGCCCCGGCCCCGCCCCCCGGAGCCCCCTCCCACCCCGACGCCCCGCCTCCCGGGCTGTGCCGAGGGCGCGGGCGGCCCGGGCTGCTGTGCGGCGGCTCCGCTCCCGCCTGGGCCGCGGCCGCGCGCCCTCCCTTCGGGGAGGAGGAAGAGGAGGGAGGAGGAGCGGCCTGAGGAGGGCCGAGCGCGGCAGTCGCGCCGCCGCCGCCGCCGCCGCCGGGAGGAAACGGAGCCGGCGGCCGCAGGGTGAGCGGCGCGAGGGGCGGCGGCGGTGGTGGGGCCCGGGGGCCGGGGGAGAGCCGCGGGGTCGCGTGCGGCCGAGCGCGGGGAGGTGGGAGGGAGGCCCAGGCCCGCGCCCCGACCCTCGGCTCCACGCCGGGCCCGCCGCCGCCGCCGCCGCCGCCGCCTTTGTTGCCCGCGGCCCGCGGCTGTGCGAGGCCGGGGCTCGGCGAGGCCTGGGCGGCGGGGCCTGCGGGCCGGGCCGGGCCGGGCCGGTCGGTCGGGGCTCCCGGAGCGGGACCAGGGGATCGTCGCGGCCGTCCGGACCGGGGGTGGCGCCCAGGGGCCGGAGCGGGGTGCGGCGGAAGGGCCGCGGGAGGAGGGCCGGCCGAGGAGGCGTTGGAACTGCCCCGATCCCGCACAGGCCCTCCTCCCTCCTTGGCGCCCGGAGTTGGCAACTTCAGGTACACACACCATTGTGGGGGCCCCCGAGCGAGCCGCGCCGCCCGTGTTTCCCCGAGCAGGGCCTGGCCCCAAACTTGGAAGAGTTGTGTGCACCCAACTTAGTGTGCAGTCAGAACGCGATCCGGGGTTCCCGTCCCCACTTTTTTGTAATTGGAGGCCGGTGAGACGGAGGTGGAACTCGGGCTTCCGGTGGGGAGATAACGTGGGATTCCTGAAGGTCTCACTAAGGCGGCATGCTGCTGCTGTGCCCGAGGACTGTGCAGTATACTAATTAGAATTATAATGTGAATTAACACACGGGAGACTTCCCAGATACAGGTTTTAATTTACAGTGTTCCTTGGAGTAAAGATAAACTTGTAATCAAACAAAGGTAAACTCCTTCCCCACGCAAAGGTGAAATATCAGCCACAGTAGGGCAGCAGTGTACTTTTAACCCACCAACTCCCACAGTGGAATCCACGTAGTTTGCTTGAATGAATGAATTTCACTTGGAATTCTCAGTGCCGTGGAGGCAGTGAAAATCACGAGTGGTATTGCTTACAGGCTTCACGGATAAAATTCAGAAGAGGTAGTGTATAATCTGTGGCTTTCTTCTGCACTGATTTCTCTTCAGCGCTGCGTGTATGGCTGTGGGAAGAAAGAAGGTTTAGGGTCCGTCCCTGCCCCAGGAAAGTAGGTCACCTTAACCATTCTCCCTAACCCTTGTTTACTTGAGGGCACGACTTCTGGACAGTGGGCTTCGTCAGGGATGTAGGAGAGTTTATTTTCCAGGGCCGGATAGGGTCAGGATGTGCCAAGTTATTTACCTGAACCTCTACCTTTTCTAGGACTCCATTTAGCATCTCTTTAAAGACACTGCTTGTTTGCTTTTATCTTTTAAGACATCCTCTGAATTGGTCCCTGGCCCTGTTCTTTTCCCTTCTGACCATGGAACTAAAACACTGTCTCCCTCAGGGATCCTCTGAGTGCCCTCCCCTGTTAGGACACCTGCAGGGAGTGGCCAGGCAGGGATTTGGGTGCCAGCCGAAGCACAGGGTGTGGTGTGGAAAAGTGCTGCTGTACCAACTGGATTCCAAGACATTTACCTTCCCATGTGCTTCTCCAGTCTTGCTGTAGAATGGAGAAACCGTTGTTTTTAAGAGCTGTCTTTTCAGAGAATAGAAACCAAGTGCCTTCGTGACCTTCTTGTGTAACTTCATCCTTAGAGAAAACCCTGCTATTTTTTTGCACTGTGGACAGTTTTAGGAAACTTTGCGTTAGCAAGAGAATCTCTCATTTTGCTTACAGAGGTAATTGTGTGATTTTATTTAAAAGTCCTGAGGTACATGGAAAGGAGGCAAAGCCTTTATGTCCATTTCTGAGTTCTTGGTGGTCACTGGCACTCTCAAGAAAATGTGTTCACAAGAAACAGGATGATACACACATATGTGTACGGCACTGGAGTGTGAGGCTTCTCTTCTGACCTCTTGCAGTTGTAAAGGTGGTGCTGATATCTGGGGTACCTCTCTGTACTTTTGTAAAATTATTATTTTCATGAAGAATCAGAGTGTGGCTGTCTTAAACTGGCTGTCTTGTTGATATCTAAATGATCATATTTAAGATTTTCGTTTTCATACTGCACACAGAATATGACATGTGTTAGGGTGTTGATTCACTAGCATTGTGACCTTGAACAGACTTTGGATCTCTTGAGTCTTATGCTCAAGTGGATCTAAATCTATCTCACAGGTATATTAAGTATGTATTTTATTTGAAGTAAATTCAAACTCTTAATTGGGCTACAGGATTTCTGCATAGGTTTGCACCTTGTCTTATACCATAGTCATACCCCGGCCCTTCCATTCCTCAGCATTCCATGCTGCTTTCCAACACCCAGCCTTGATACACTGGTTCCGTTAACCCTCAGTGTTACAGAACATGGGAAGGTAAATGTCTACCAGGGGCTACTTGTGTGGCCTTATAGCCAGTGTCCACACCTCAGAGAACCTTCCTAAGTACCTTGGAGTAACAAATTGGCGTGTGTCCTTCAGACATGCTGTCTAATTATTCTCTTCTTTCTGCTCTGTTCTCATACAAGTTCATAGGGTATACGCCTGTGATGGTCTCTTTTCCCTTTGTGTCCTTAACATATCCTGTGGAACGTGCACACTGAGCAGGGTCCTAGTGTGCAGAAAGTGTATGTAGTACTCATCATATGAAAGAAAGAAGCTCGATGTGTAGGTATTAGGTAGCCTTTGGTATTGTGTGCTGTTGTCTTTGTCCCAGCTGGCCTGCTCAAGTGAATACACATGACAGTGGTAAAATCCGTATGACCCAAACAGCCCTTCACAGAGAACTGTTTCCCTGTGGAGCCATCATGTATGTGAGTTTCTCATGAACCAAACTGGCTTAGGGCACAGATGGACAGATCTGCCTCACTTTCATAAGGGTGGTTGTTTGCCAGTGTGGAAAGTAACTATTCTGGAGCATATTTCCTCACTGTTCCTTTACATAGCTCAGTGAAGTCAGGCCTCAGTTATCTGGAACCTCTTGGCAGCCGCAGTTTTCAACAGAGAATCAAGCAAGAAAGAAAAACCAATTTGTAATTAGAAATGCCAGACACTTAGAAGATTGATTGCAGCAGTCTTTCATTGGAACACAAATCTAGATTGAATTTTAACACTTTGATTTTGTAGAATAGCTTTTTTAAAAGTTTTGTTTCATCTGTAAAGCAATAGTTTCTGAGGTGAGATAAAAAATCGAGAGTGCATGTGACTAGGTTGATGTTTAGAATATAGCAAGTGATGATAGTAATAATTAGTTTAAAATGTGCTTGGGTCGGTCAACAGGAATATGCTGAGGAACCAGCAATGTCTCTGTATGATGCAGACATTCTTCTTAAAGAAGCCAATGTGAGAAAAGGGTATAAGACAGTGGTAAGAGAAATGGACATGGGAGGGGAAAGCAACTGGGCATCTGCATGGATAACTGGTAGTGTAAAAGCTGCTCTGTGTGTGTGTGTGTGTGTGTGTGTGTGTGTGTGTGTGTGCGCGCGCGCGCGTGTGCTGTATGTGTGGCAGGGGTTCACAGGTCACAGCATGGGTGCCAGGGGAGCTTGACTGTTGGCTTAATACTCTTAGATGGTGTGAATGAAGTTCCTCGACGTGTGGTATAAAGCTGTCTTCCTCTTTATAGCCACCTCACTAAAGTATTGTCTTAAAATTATTGAAAAGGTTTTGAAGACAAATTATCCCATTTTCCCATAGCCAACTCTTGGACATTAGAGAAGAAAGAAATGATGGAATAGAAGATGTCTAAAGACCTTAGTGGCAGTGTGAACTTGTGTTTAAACTACCTCCTTACAAAGGCATAGGATTGCGTGGCTCCTATTAGATAAAGATTTTTACCAAAACCTAATCATTTAGTTTTGATCTTTATAATTAGCTTGGTTTACTAAGTGCTTCAGAGAGCCAGTGTAGCTAGAGTTTTCCTGCCTGGACCACAGTCAGGACAAATCTCTGTCACCTGCCAGTCCCACAGCCACTCAGACCCAACCAAGTAAACACAGAGACTTATATTGCTTACAAACTGTATGGCTGTGGCAGGCTTCTTGCTAACTGTCCTTACAGCTTAAATTAATCCATTTCTATAAATCTATACCTTGCCATGTGACTCGTGGCTTACCGGCATCTTCACATGCTGTTTGTCATTGTGGCGGCTGGCAGTGTCTCTGACTCAGCCTTCCACTTCCCAGCTTTATTCTCCTCCTTGTCCCGCCTATACTTCCTCCTGCCTGACTACTGGCCAATCAGTGTTTTATTTACCAACCAATCAGAGCAACACATTTACCATACAGAACATCCCACAGCAAGCCAGTCTTTGCTGTAGACATTATTCTGACCATAGTGTCAGAAGTGTCAAATGATTGAAGCAACAGTGTCAACACTCTGAGGTTAAGTTCTCATTGGTGATGTACTACTTTGCATGTGTGTTACTTTCCTTGCGCAAATTTTGTTTTGATATTTATAATACATTATTCCAAAAGTTTAGCTTTGGGTTTTTTGTTTGTTTGTTTTATCTTTTTTCCCCCCCAGACAAGGTTTCTCTGTGTAACCTGTCCTGGAACTCACTTCTGTAGACCAGACTGTCCTTGAACTCACAGAGATCTACTTGCCTCTGCCTCCTGAATGCTGAGATTAAAAGCATGTGTTACACCCAGCAAGCTCTGTTTTCAATTGAAATAGTACCTTCAGTGAGTACTTGTCTGTTGGCATCCCTTTTAATGAAAAAAACAAAAAACAGCTCCCATATTTAGGGAATAATGTTACCAAATATCACAGACTGGTGGAATATATAAACAAGTAGGAAGTGTCTTGATTTTTGTACTTTTATACATCTGTAAAATTGTAATTTCAGGCTAGAAGGAATTCAACAGATTATGGTCAGTCTTCATTCTTTTACAGATGATTAAATAAGTAAATAAATTCAGACCAGTGTTTATGGAGTTAGTCTATTTGTATGTCAGTTCTTTATAGCATTTCAACATGGCATCTCATGCACATATCTCTTCTTGATATTGATGCAAGTGGTTTAATTTAACCCTGGAAGTTGGGCATTTGTACTTCTGTCTTCATGGACAATCTCCTGGGTTTGGCTAGGGGAGATATAGAAGCAGGGACAGAAAGAGCCCGTGTATCAGTCTGGAAGTTGTTTGGCAAGGGGAATCCCTTGTTCTCCTTGAGTTGCTGGAACTCACACCTGTAGAAACTTCTTGGAAAGGGAGGAAGCAGTACCTGTCTGGCTTTGTCTTGTGTGTCAGAAAATGCTTGCTCCAAGTATTTGGTTTATAGTCTGGCTATGTATAGAATTTTAGGTACAGTTTACTCAGAAATAGGTTATGTGGCACTGATGGATTAACCCTAAAATCTCAGTGTGTTATGAAGGGTGACAGTTGGCTTTTTGCTTTCCTAGTTTTTGGAGGCATGGGATCCTTATGACTTCTTTTGGGTCTGTCTGTTCTTCTGCAATTGCTGTCCTATGACTCCAGGCAAGTGGAGAGGATAACGGGTTGATTCACTGTTAATCCACTACCCAGACTCTATTGTGTGGTCTTGCAAGAATGCCAGGGAATGTGGAAGATTCAAGGAGAGCTACTGAACTGTTGTGGTGATGGCCGCGGAGGTTTGAAAGCAATGCCATTGTCTCCGGCCTTCACTATTACCTTGGGGCAGCTACCACTTGTTTATAGCAGTTGTGTGTCTCCAGAAGTCTTTTGTTGTTTTTGTATTATCTAGTAAATACTAAAGTTTCTCAGTGGTATGTCTCGTCCTTATTCTTTTATTCATAGAATGTAATATTCCATTGATTTTAGACTTAAAAGACTTTAAACTTTTCCTTTGTAATTTCTTCCCCCTAGTTTTTATGATTTTTTTTTTTTTTTACTTCTCTGAAGCTCTTTGTTGGCTACAGGAAGTCCTGGATTGATTGATTTATTAGTTATTTTCTCAGTTTTTCATGTCAATCTTTTGGGGGCGTTTTTGTTGTTATATATAAATGTTTCACAATTAATTTTGGCTTTATTACCCTCCTGCACCTCTTTAAAAAAATAACCTTGGACTTGTTTCAAATTTGTGATCTTTTCTCAGGCCTATTTCTTCTTTCTTCCCTTCTAGGACTGAATTTACTTACTTATTTTTTCCAGTGCTGGATCTGGAAAGCAGGACTTGGCACATACTAGGCAGGTGTACTATCCCTGAGCTGGGTGCTGCAGCTCAGGCTTGTCTCTACCAGTTCACATTGTTCCCACGGGTCATACTTTTCTTTTGCTTTCAGGTTTTCATTGTGTATGGGGGAATGGTAGTATGCTCATCAGATTTTTGTCAACTGGACACAAGCTACAGTTATTTGGGAAGAGGAACTCTAAATTGAGAAAATGCCTCCATAAGGTTTGCCTGTGGGTAAGTCTGTAGTACAGTTTCTTGATTAATGATTGATGTGGGAGGGCCCAGCTCTTTGGGAACAGTGACACCTCTGGGCAGGTGGTCCTGGTTGATAAAGAAGGCTGAACAAACTATAAGGAGCACTGGTAAGCAGTGTTTCTTCATGGCTTCTGTTCCAGTTTTTCCAGGTTCCTGCCTTGAGTTCCCACCCTGACTTCCCTCTGTAATGGACTGTGGTCAGAATGTGTAAGCCAGATAAACCTTTTCCTCCCCAAATTGCTTTTGATCATGGTGTTTTATCATAGCAATAGAAACTCCAGTCAAGAAGGTAGCAGTTAACATGTATGCTCATTTTTGTTGGTGATGGAGATTTTTGTTGCCGCTTGTTTTTTGAAATAGTTTTGCTATGATGCCAAGACTGAAACTCACTGTAGTCTAGGCTGGCTTCAAACCTCCATTCTTGTGCCTCAACCTCTCAAGTGATAGGATTATAGGCCTCTATCACATACTCTGCTCAAAAACTATATTGTTAATAAATCAGGACCTCACATAAAACTAGCAGCTAGCTGGTGTAACTTGAATCTTAAAAGGTCTTATTAATAAAAACAAAACCAGGAGCCAGATATTGAGGTGAATGCTGAAAGATCCGAGAAACAGAACCAGCCACAGTTAACCTCACCTCGACAATTCCTCAGCTGATCTTGTTTCCTCAAACTGGAAACCTCTGTGTCCTCACCCGAATGGATCTCAGCTGAACTGCTGCTCCAAAGCCTAAAAGCTTAACAGAGGCTCTAGATCCTGGTCCTCACGCCTTATATACCTTTCTGCTTCCTGTCATCACTTCCTGGGATTAAAGGCATGTGTCACCATGCCTGGCTGTTTCCAGTGTGGCTTTGAATTCACAGAGATCCAGAGGGATCTCTGCCTCCAGAAGGCTAGGATTAAAGGTGTGTGTGCCACCATTTTCTGGCCTCTATGTCTGTCTAGTCATTGTTCTGTTCTCTGACCCCAGATAAGTTTATTCGGGTGCACAGTATTTTGGGGAACACAATATCACCACAAGCAGGCTTGCCCCCCACCCCTCCTTTTTTCCCCCTTGTGTTAGAGCTCAAACCCAAGCCTTGGTTATCCATGTTAGGCAAGCAAGTACTTTACCACATTCTGCATCTCCTGCCCAAGGCCTGTTAAGCTACACTGGGCAACATGAGTAGTTTTAAGTTGTATTGTTTTGGAGAGTCCAGTCGGTGGACACGTGGAGATAGATGACAATTTATAGGAGTTGGTTCTCTCCTTTCACTGTTTAGGTTCTGGGGGACTGAAATTCAGGCCATCAGGCTTGGCAATATCAGTATCTTTTACCTGTTAAGCCAACTCACTAGCCCAAGTTGGATCATTTAATAGGTAGACGCCGGGCGTGGTGGTGCATGCCTTTAATTCCAGCACTTGGGAGGCAGATGCAGAGGCAGGCAGATCTCTGTGAGTTCGAGACTAGCCTGGTTTACAGAGTGAGTTCCAGGACAGCCAGGGCTACACAGAGAAACCCTGTTTCTAAAAACCAAAACAAACAAACAAACAAAAGGTAGAAGGAGACCTCATCTTTGGGAACTCTCAGTAATTGATTATTTTAGATAATTAGTTTACAAAGCAAGCAATCTTTTTATGAGATTGTTAAATTTTTTGCTTAGTAGGGTTGCATTGTTTAAATGATTATTATTATTCTCTGAGCTCTAATGATTAATGGATAAAGTTTAATAGTAAATCTTCTGTTATTCTAAAATCTCATTCTTAATTTAAGTGTAATTTAGAAAATGCAGGGTTTTTTTTACATAAAGCTCATAACTTATGGCAGAGATAATAAGAATTATATGTTCTATATGCAAAAGCATTTGATTGATGAACAAATTTCTTTTTAGATTGGAGTTTCTGTACCATCTATAGACTTCAGCAATTTGTTTCTTTTTAGTCATTATTTGTATGTCTGTGTTGCCTTCAGAATCTGAGTTAAGTGCCAGGGTGGCAGTGGTGGCGATTGCCTTTAATTCCAGCACTTGGGAGGCAGAGGCAGGCAGATCTCTGAGAGTTCAAGGCCAGCCTGGGCTACAGAGCTGGTTCTAGGACAGCCAAGGCTACACAAAGAAACCCTGTTTTGGAGAGAAAAAAAAGAAGATGAGTTAAACTTTTTGACTATAATAGTTTAGTACATTGAAGAGATTTTTATTTATGAGCAAATTATATCTCTAGAGAAAATGCAAATTCTTGAAAAAATCACATAGTAGCATTATTTTGCTGTACTACCTCTGCTCCAGAATAAAAACAAGCTGGCAAAATACAGATCTTTGGATTTTTATGTAGTTGTTCAGTTTGTCCAGAATTCTTAAAGAACTTTATCTACTTGGCAGCTTCATCAGAAAAGTCACACTGATTTTGTGGGCAGTGAAAATGGTGAGCATTTTGGGGAAGTGAAATGTTTCAGCTAATACCATTCTGTGGACATTTATTAAAATGTTAGTTGATTTTAATTTTCAACTGTCAGTAATATGTATCAGTAAATTCTATTAAAACAGTTACATTTATAACAGAGGACAGGGTTTATGACATTACATAACTTATCACTGAGTATTACAATAGATCTTTTCAAATAGTCAGCTGTAATTGTGCCTTAGTCAATAAAATGGGTATGTGGGGATCGTTAGGATTTGATAGTAAGTTGGGTAGCATGCACATGATTTCCTTTATCAGTGTTGCCCAGGTGCCACTTGTTTATTATTGAGGAAACAGTTTGTTGAAATGTCTGTCAGTTGTTTTATAGATGACCTGGCCCAGGTATGTAGGTGTGTTAGTTACCATGTATTTTTAGTACAATTATCAATTTCCAGCATGAAAACTGGTGGTTTCCATTGTGACACTGTCCAGAGTAGCACAGACCCCACAGGTAGGAGCTTAGTCCGCAGACTTTCCCCATTCAGATGCCAGCTTGACGTCCTGGCCAGCCATTAAGTCAGAGGTTCCTAGTGAGGACCTCTTCTGATTAGTTAATTTGTAGAACTCAGTGAAAGACTTAGTTGACTGATTTATTATAAGGATTACATGCCAGGAACAGCTGAGGAGAAAGGCTGCATGGGATGAGGTGTTGTATGTGATTTGCAGCACCTATGCCCTCTTGTCATGCCCAACTCTCCAAATACTTATTGTGTCCAGAAGTTGGTGATCCGGTTAAAGAGTGTTTATAGTGCCCAATCAGTCTCTTAACTCATCCCTTCCCTCTAGGATGTGGGGGGTGGGGCTAAAAGTTCCCACTCTGTAATCTAAGTCACTTCATTGGTTTAAACTCTGGTATGATTGAAAGTCACCTGCCGTATCTAGGAAGATACTTTAATCACTCAGGAAATTATAAGGTTTACCATAGCCTTCATCTTTAAAGCATGCAGAGAGACTTGTATGTTTAACTTGCAGAGCAAGTTTTACATGCACTTTTCTAAGAATCTTTTATTATAACCTATTTATTACATTCCTGCTACATTCAATAGGAAATAAATGTTCACTTACAAAAAAGTTAATGCAGCTAGCCTTTAAAAATTAATGAAATGAATGTTCATTTTTCCTTAATTACTTTATTCATTAACAGGTTGCACTTTAAAAAGTAGTAGATATCTCATGCGTTTAATCCCAGAACTTGGAGGTAGAATCAAGTAGATCCCTATGCCTTTGAGGGCAGCCTGGTCTACATACTGAGTTCCAGACCACCAGGCTACAAAGTGAGGTACAGTCGCCAAAAAAAAAAAAAGTGGTACACAATCTACCAATTCAGTGCTGTCTTTTGGTGTATACAGACATTTAAATCTATTATGCCCATTTTACACCTGTGTTGGCACTTGCTAATTCAAACCACGTATAATATCATAGGAAATATTTGGTCTTCGTCTCAAGTTCCATCCAGAAGAGGCTGGAGGGAAACCAGCAAGGGAGTCTAAAAGTGAGGTGCCCTTGTAGCAAAGACACAAATGTATTGACAAGTTTCAGTAGCATCTTAGATAAGGACTGAGCACTTAGCCCCAGGCTGCATGTGCTGTGTTGGAGATGGCTGTGGCTGGTTAAGAGACTGTGGAAAGTAGGAATTATTGCTGCTGATTTTACAAAGGTCTTTGGTGACCACTGCTATGAGGGGAGCATATTCTAGGGAATATGGCTTGCAGAAAGTGGGATATTTATGTGAGAAATAACATTTTTAGTAATGATCCAACGAAGGGGAAATTGTTAGGAGATGAGGTGTGTGAAGACAATGCTGTAGTGCCTTTAGAAAGGAGCTGAGGAGTCTATGTGTAGCAGATACTGCTAAGTAGATTGACACATGGTAAAATCTACCATTTCCTCTTTTCCTTCAGTTTTGGGTGCTGAGCTTTAAGCATAGGACTTCATGCTTGTTGGGGAGGCTCTCCACAGCTGAGCTTTATCCCTAGCCATGAAGTTTCCTCTTGATGACTTATTTTCTCTGGAATTAGAGCCGGGCCATCAGCTAAGATTGAAGATGGAGTATTTAAATGTGAGGAAAGATGTGGGTGGAGTGGTTAGCAACAAAAGAGAATGAACCAAAAAAAAAAAAAAAAAAAAAAAGTTGATTTCGAGGTAGCATTAAGAATTAACCTCAGCTGTCGATCCAAAGTTCGTGAGATCCTTTGAGCTTGGTTCAGCTTGGTTCAGTTGTCTCTGTAGATTTCTCCATAATGATCTTGACCCCCCTGGTGCTTGGTTGTGGATCTCTGCATCTGCTTCCATCAGTTACTGGATGAAGGTTCTATGATGACAGTTAGGGTGTTTACCAATCTGATTACCAGGGTAGGCCAGTTCAGTCCCACTCACCACTATGGCTAGTAGTTTAATCTGGGGTCGTCCTTGTGGATTCCTGGTGGAACCTGTGTGGGATTGGACTGGACCCTCTGCATACGGGAGACAGTTGTGTAGCTGGATCTGTGTGAGGGGCCTCTGGCAGTGTGATCAGGGTCTATCCCTCGTGCATGAGC